CAAGATTTCTCTCTCTTCAGCTGTCTGGTGTGGACAGAATTTTATTGGTTGGCCAGGGATTGGAAATGTCATATCTCCAGGTATGGGAGACAGTAGAAAATTATGTCTGGTTCATTCAAAACTCTTTCTGTCATAAGTCTATATAATTTTTTGTGCATATATCTCTGAGAAGTAGAAAGTATAGAAAAAATAGAAAGTTTCCCATTAAGTTTTTAAATATAATCATTGATTTTCTTTCCTATCAACAAAAGAAATACTTTCAGTTAACAAAAGTATAGGAAATGTCAAGCATACCAGCTCACCACTCAGTCAAATCTTAATATGCTCCCACATTTGCTCTAGATTTGTTTTATATAAAGTAAAATCACCACAGTTATTGCTGAAGCCCCCCGGGGACCCTATCCTGCCATTCCCCTCCCTGCATACCCAGAGGTAACTACTCTTCTGATTTTGATTTTTATCATTCCCATATGTGTTTTGATATGTTACATATATATTCACAAATGATATTTAATTTTGTTTTACATATATTTGAACTTTATAAAAATGGTACTTTGTATATCATTTCCCCACTTGCTTTGTTTTGCCCAACATAATGTTTTTTGAGATTTAACCATGTTGATATATGTTGTTTGAGTTCATTCATTTTAATTTCAGTATCATTCCATTGCATGAATGTGCCACCATTTGTTTATCCATTCTACTGTTGATGGATATTTTTAGGTTATTTCCAGTCTTTTGCTTTTACAAACAGTGGATGCAGGAAACATTTTTTAACATGGGCAAGAATTTCTCTAAAGGATATGGATGCTGTGTTGTGGGTTATGCACAACTTCAAATTGTGTGTGTGTATTGCTGAATTTTACCCTAAGTGCTTTAATTAATTTATACTCTCACTGTAGTATGAATTTTCTTATACTATATCCATGCCAACACTTGGTATTATCAACCTTTTACTTTTGCCTATCTGATGAGTATGAAATGGCATACAATTGTGGTTTTAATTTGCACTTACTGGATTATTGATAAGGTTAACTATTATTTCACATGCCTTGTGAACACCTGAGTTTCTGTTTTTGTGAATTGTCTCTTCAGATCTTTGTCCCATTATTGTTGTTACTGTTGCTTTGGGGTTTGCTGATATTTTATGGGTTTACTAAAATCTGTGTGTGTCTTGAATATTATTTCTTTGCCAGTATTGCAGATACTGTCTCCCAGTTTCTGCTTTTACTTTATTTTGATACAGACTTATTTTAAGTAGATTTTTCTGTCTTTCCTTTGTTTCACATTCTTCTCTACCCATAGTAATAAAAATAATCTTTATTTTCTTCTTAAAGTTTGTCTTTTTATATCTGGGTGCTTGATCTACCTGGAATTTAGCTTACTCATTCTTTTCTTTTCTTTTTTTAGTATATTTTTATTGATTTCAGAGAGGAAGAGAGAGAGAAACATCAATGATGAGAGAGAATTATTGATTGGCTGCCTCCTGCACACCCCACACTGGGGATTGAGCCTGCAACCTGGGCATGTGCCCTGACTGGGAATCGAACCATGACCTGGTTCATAGATTGACGCTCAACCACTGAACCATGCTGGCCAGGCTTACTCATTCTTTAGAGGCATGTACAGGGTTACCTCTGAGGAAGAGAGTGGCTCTGGGAAGTGTTCTAATGTTGAGCTCTTTGTATGGGTCTCGGGCAGCCTACACTCATCTCTCCTCTGCATACTTGAGTACTTTTATCTGTGGGCCTACGGTCTTTTCAAAAAGCAAATACTAGGAAAGTAAGAATTTCCATATCTGGAAACCTAGAAAAATCCAAATGCCCTAGCACTTTCCTGGTCTGCAGTTGAATGACCTACAGAGTTTAGGGCATTGGCCACATTACTATGTGAAATTGCTCTTTCTTTAGTGTATCTTCCTCACCATTTTTTAAAAATTGAGGCTTTTTTTTTAACAGAAGTTTAAGGTTCACAGCTAAATTGAGGGGCAGGTACAGAGTTCCCATATACCCTCTGCCCCCACATAGCCTCTTCCATTATCAACATCCTCAACAGAGTGGTGCATTTGTTGCAATTGATGAGCCTACCTTGAAACATCATTATTAACTCAGAGTCTCTAGTTTACATTAGGGTCCACACTTAGTGTTGTACATTCTGTGAGTTTGGACAAATGTGTAATGATGTGTCCACTATTACAGCATCATACAGGGTAGCTTCACTGCTCTAAAAATCCTCTGTGCTCCACCTGTTTGTCTCACCCACCCTCCCCAACTCCTGGCAACCACTGATCTGTTCACTGTCTCCATAGTTTTGCCTTTTCCAGGTGTCATAGCTGGAATCATACAGTATGTACCCTTTTCAGACTGGCTTCTTTCATTTAGCAACATGCATTTAAGATTCCTCCATGTCTTTTCATGACTGCATAGCTCCTTTTTTTTAAAGAGCAGAATAATATTCTGTTTTGTGGATGTACCACAATCTGTCCATTCAGCTACTGAAGGACCTCTTGGTTCTGGCAATTATGAATAAAGCTATTAAAAATCTCTGTGTGCAGATTTTGTGTGGACATAAGTTTTCAACTCCTTGAGTCTCTACCTAGGAGCAGGATCGCTGAGTGGCAGTCCTTTTTCGGATGTGCCTTTTGCAGATGTTCTCCCAGTCCGTAGCTCGCCTTCTCATGCCCTCGACAGTGTCTTTTGCAGAGGATAACTTTTTCATTTTAGTGAAGTCCAGCCTATCAGTTATTTCTTTCATGGGTCATGGCTTTGAGGTTATATCTAAAAAGTCATCACCGTACCCAAGGTCATCTAGGTTTTATCCTCTGTGATCCACTTTGAATTAATTTTTGTGAAGGGTGTAAGATCTCTTCTTTTTTCTTTTCTTTCTTTTTTGCATGTAGTTGTCCAGGTGTTCCCAGAGCATTTGCTGAAAAGACTGTCTGCTCCATTGTCTTGCCTTGCTCCTTTGTGAAAGATTAGCTGACTACATTAGCGGGGTCTGTTTCTGGGCTCTCTGTTCTGCTCTGTTGATCTGTTTGTCTATTCTTGCACCAATAACATACTGTCTTAACTGCTGTACCTTTATAATAAGTCTTGAAGTCAGGGTAATGTCAGTTCTCCAACTTTGTTCTTCTCCTTCAATATTGTATTGGGTTTTGGGGTCTTTTGTATCTCCATATAAACTTCAGAATCAGTTTGTCAATACATCACCATGTTTTGAGAATAATATTTCCATTTAAGTTATTCCAAGTAAAACATCAATATGTTCTCCAAATTTTATACTATTATCAAAATTATAATCACCATGACCATTCATAGTGTCTACCTTTAGTCATTAGTTCTCCTGTCTGTAAGAAAATGCAGGGAGAATGAGCACCTGTGAGTGTCCTAACGCCCAGGGGTCCCTTTTCATCCCTGCTTGATATTGCTATGCAAGGCTTTCCTAGAGGCGCCGACAGTGCAGATAGAGCAAGCCTTGTCCTGAACATAAGATTGGCCATCAGAGTTGTGGTGGTGGTGATGGGACTGTCACCCCACTGCTACCTTGTCTGGTTGATGGGCATGCGTTTCTCTTCTCCTAGACCAGTGGTCAGCAAACTGCAGCTCGGCAAACCGCGGCTCGCGAGCCACATGCGGCTCTTTGGCCCCTTCAGTGTGGCTCTTCCACAAAATACTGGCTCTTCCACAAAATGCCTACTTCTGCGCATGGGCCACGAAGTTTCAATCGCACTGTACGTGCGCGCCCACACATGGTATTTGTGGAAGAGCCACACTCAAGGGGCCAAAGAGCCGCATGTGGCTCGCGAGTCGGTTTGCCGGCCGCTGTCCTAGACTATCTGAACAGGCCACAGTGTATTAGGCTTCAGCCATACCAGTGCCCCCTGGTTGTCAAGAGCAGCAGCGGTTGAGCAGTACACCTGCCGTCAGCAGGAAACAGTATGAGGTCGAAGCCAACGCTGCCCTGAGGCACCTAACCTAGGCAGCTGGGGAGGGAACTATAGCCTCTCCACTTGTCATCTGACCCCACCCATCCTTTGAGATACTTTTAGCAAATTATCTAACCTCTGGGCCTTTGATTTTCTTATCTATAAAATGGGAATAGTAAATACCTACAGGCCAGGGTCTTCTAAAGACATTCCTAGCATCTTTCCTGGCAATTGGTGGGCAATCAGGAAAGGTGACCTCCTTCCAAATAGTTAGCATTAAGGAGAACAACAATAACAAAGGGCAGATTGTTCTAAGAGACTAATGTTTAAATTTGGCTTTGTCTCCTACAACCTCACTAGCGTTCAGAGAAATTCAAAATACAGCAATACTGAGTACCGTTTTTGCCTGTTGAATAAGCAAGATTTTTATGAGTTTTCTGTGCCAGGGAGGGTGAGTCTGCACCACTGGCAGATGTAAACAGGTACATTCCATTTGGAAAGCAGTTCAAGATATGTATCAAGAACCTCAAAAATGTTCTTGTCCTTTGATCTGTCCCAAAGACTCTCGCCTAAGGAAATGCGATTGATAGACCTGGAATTTTATGTAAAAAGCCATTCAGCACAGCATTCATTATTTATAATAAAAATCTAGAAACAAATTACAGGGGAGTGGTTAAATATGTTAAAGTTACACACACAGAGAGTACTCTATAACCATTACAAATCACGATATTTAAAGACTGCTAAGATGGGAAAATAGAATTCAAAAACTTCATATGCTAAGTGGAAAAAACAGATCATAAAACTATGTACAGTATAATTTTAGTTTTTTTTATACATCCATACAGACTGGTAGGAATCATACCACATTGTTACTGTAGCTTCTTGTTACTTTTTTCCTGGGTAATGGGAGTTATAACTAATGTGTTTTCTTTTATATTTGTTTATTTTCCAAATTTTCTCCAGCGAGGGTGTATTACATTTAAAATCAGGACAATGTTATTAATCAGCATGGGTACACAGGATGTTGTTGTCCATAGGAAGTGACTAGTAATATTCTGCTTTGCTCCCACAGCTGCTGCTGGACACCCATTCCCTGAAGATGGTCCTGCTCGATCTGCCTTCCATTGGCTCCCAGGTGGTGAGGAAAGCACCTGCCAGTTACACTAAGATTGTTGTGAAAGGCATGACCCGGGCGGAGATGATCCTCAAGGTAGGGCCTGTGTTTCCTTGTCAAAGAGGGCTGGTTGCCTGATTGCTTATTCCAAGGAGGACTGGTTTTGAAAGCACGGATCAGCGCCTATCCCCGCCAGTCCCAAAGGATTGTCCACATTCTTTGGCGGGACTAGGAATTGGCCTCATCAGACATTGTTGAAAATCAGTGGACAGTTCCTTGGGGGTCAGTAAATCTTCCTGACAAATGAATTCTTCATTGTAATGGGATTCCCTTGTAGTAAGATTTGGCCAAGATTGGAAGTTAGGTGGGTGTCTGAGAATCAGTGTCTAAGTCAGGGGTCTCTTTGCTGCTCAGCAGGAATTTCCAGCCCAACTCTCAGTTACTCCCTTTCACATAAGCCCTTTGGCTTCCAAACTCTGCAACTTGACAAGAACTCCGAACAGATGTTTCAGTAACTGACTAATCAGCGAATGGGCTTTCTAAAGCTCCATTTAACAAAATATTATATGTGGGGTGATGTTGCGAATGGCTGAAGCTTTAAGCATCTGCATCAGATTTTCACCTGTACTTGTTGAGAAGAGAGGGAAGAAAGCTATAGAACAAATGGAACTATCAGGGAATGCTCCTAAAATTCCAGGGCCTGCAGGCTCTCCACGTCTGTCTCCCAAACAGAATGACTCCGATGACAGCGGGAGGAAAAGGAGCAGTGGGACCTGAGACAGTGGAGGTGACAGGAGAGGGCCCTGCACGGACCTGCAGCTTCTGGCCCGAGGAAATGGGCGGCAGCCTGATCGTCAGTCTCCTGCAGCCAGTTTACTCCCAGGGGGCAGAGCAGAGTTTGCAAATTATCTGCAGAGGATTTCTTTCTCCTTTTAATTTTTTTAGCTTTTTGCAAATAACATATATTTTCTCCATGTTTCCTAAGTATAATAAAACATCACCCTTAGTGAATTTGTACCTTAGGTACAAATATTTATAAAATAATGAACACCAGTTTCCCCAGATTAGCGTGAGAGTGAACACATGCTGAAACAATTGTGATTTTATTCCCTGACAGAAAAACAATCTTGAGTATATTTTAATGGCTAAAAAAGAAAGTCATTCAAGTTTCATGTTTATTAAAAAAATGTGACTTTATCTCTGCTTCATGAATTTTGTACTTTGAAATGGAGGAATGACATTTAGACATTTCTGCAGAGAATTTCTGAGTGAACTACTCCTTGCCACTCTGAGTTCCATGCTCAGGAATTCAAAACAAAGCCAGTCTGCTGGAGGAAGCGAGCCAGACGCTGCGTTTCAAAACCAAGTGGAAATGAATGCGAGGACTGGGATGCCATTACTTCCCTTCGGCTTGTATATTACTCGGATGTAGTTAAATGAAGTTCCAGATTTTAAGTCTTGAAAAGAGTGAGGCAGCTTTGGGGTTTTTGATTTTGAGAAAATCTACTTAAGTCAGTGCCTTTTGTTTCCAGTCCTCAGGAACAATGATATGTCAAGACAAAATGAGCAGGTACCACAAAACCACAAAATATCTCAAATAGGAGATCCTCTAACACAGTGTTTCCCAGATGGTCCTGACATTTACAAACATCATCTGGGACCCAACCCAGGCCCTCAGAATCTTCAGAGGAGGGGCTTAGGGATCTGCACTTAAAAAGCCGTCTAGCCCTAGTCGGTTTGGCTCAGTGAATAGAGCGTCGGCCTGCAGACTCAAGGGTCCCGGGTTGGATTCTGATCAAGAGCACATGCCCAGGTTGCAGGCTCGATTCCCAGTGGGGGGGTGCAGGAGGCAGCCGATCAGTGATTCTCATCATTGATGTTTCTCTCTCTCACTCCCTCTCCTTTCCTCTCTGAAATCAATATGTATGTGTGTGTGTGTGTGTATGTGTGTGTGTGTGTGTGTGTGTGTGTGTGTGTGTATATATTTTTTTAAAGCATAGCCGGCGTGGTCGAACATCGACCTATGAACCAGATCACAGCTCGATTCCCAGTCTGGGCACATGCCCAGGTTTTGGGCTCGATCCCCAGTGTGGGACTTGCAGGAGGCAGCCAGTCAATGCTTCTCTCTCATCATTGATGTTTCTCTCTCTCTCCCTCTCCCTTCCTCTCTGAAATCAATTAACAAAATATATTTTTTTAAAAAAGAGCAGTCTAGGTGTTTTTGATTCAGCACCTTTAGGAAACATGGCTCTAACATGTTGAGATGAAATAGGCCATCAGGACGTTTCTGCGTTGAGGTTGCTGCTGCTGGAAGGATATCTTGCAGAGTCCACTTTGTGGTCGGCTTGCAAGTGAGACTTGCCCTCTGGCCTGAGCTTCCCCTGAGAACCTGCTCTTGTCTCTCCCTTGCAGGTAGTGATGGCCCCTCATGAGCCCTCGGTGGTGTTTGTTGACAACTACATCAAACTCCTTACAGACTGCAACACAGAAACCTTCCAGAAGATACTGGACATGAAGGTTAGTTCAGGGTCGTGTGTGGTCCACATGCACAGCCTTCTCACACCCCGTGGTTCTTAACTGGGCCCTGGGAGCTCTCTCAGAATGCCGGTGCCTGGCCCCACGCTGCAAACCACATGCCCAGAAGCCTTTTAAGGAGAGGGATCCCGGCATATGACCTTCCTGGTGGCCTCCACGCCCATGGAGAACTACTGCTCAGTGGAAGGAATGGACTGAAGGGGGATATTACCTCCCCTCCCTGTTTACCTGTTTTTTCTTCTCTCTCAGCCTCTTCTTTCTCCTACCCTAGTACCTGTTTTTGTTCCCCTGCTTCTCTCCCTGGCTACTGCCTAGGACCGGTAACTCCCCAGGAAGAAAGTGTAAATCCTCAGCCCCCAGGAATTGGAGTTCTCAGCCCTCAGCTAAGAGCATCCCAGATGCTACACTTGCCCCTCGGCCTTCCTGGGCCGCCTCACATTGTCCTCCTTTCTCTTTCAACCTCAGGGGCTGAAGAGGAGCGAGCAGAGCAGCATGCTGGAACTCTTCCGCCAGAGGCTCCCCACCCCGCCCGCAGGGCCCGAAGCCTCCAGCTCACTGTCCCTGCTGGCTCCCACACCAGAACAGGAGTCTTCTCGCATCCGCAAACTGGAGAAACTAATTAAAAAGAGACTGTAGGGGCGCCGGCCAGTGACCCTCAGCGCCCGGCTCCTGGAAGCCCCACCCTCCTGTGCTCAGCCTGACTCTCAGATGTCCATCTTGAAACTTCCCAGGACATTTGGGTTGCTAGTGTGTGTCTCCCAAGCCCTGTCTTACTTCTGTCCTAATCGGAAAAGCCCCCTCAGGGCCCGGTTAGCAGAAGGCAGTCGGTGGCTCTGGATGCTGCAGCAGAGGCAGGCTGGGTGAGCGGCCCTGCCCTTCACTGTTGTTTCTGGGCTGTTCTCACTGGTCCGTCGTCACGGACTCCGTAGCCTCCCTCCCTCTGCGGCCTCACCCTCTTCCTCACGTGCACCCGTCCAGGCAGCTTCGGTGACCAAGGCTGGGTCTCCGCCTTCCTCCATCGGCTGCTGTCTGAGGGGGCTCTGGGGCCCGAGTTCATGAAGTGGCAGGTGCAGGGGTAGGAAAGCAGGACCGCTCTCCCGTGTGAATCCCGGTTTGGGTACATACTTTGCTTCTGGTACCTTTCGACTTGGCCAGGTTCTCCCTGTATTCTCATTTCTCACTCATCTCCAATTCGCTCTCTCTGTGCATCCGAGAAGATCCCCTGTGTCTCTCACCCAGGACGGCACGTGTCGGCCTTCGTGTCGGCCCTCTGTGCCCTGGGCTCCTGGCCCGGCTGCGGGGCAGACCCATGTCTGACTGGGAGAGAGTTCCAGGCTGGGCGCACTCACTGCTTGACAGAGGTTATTTCCTCCGTTTCTTTATTCCCACTCTACGCCTGACTTCGAGGGGAGGGGTGGCCTTTTTCCTAGAAAAATGTCCTAGGCTTTCTCCTTAGATGAAGCTCTGGGGCAGCCCAGGCGGCCTCTGATTCCTTTCCTGCCCCTCCATGTTCAAATCCAAAGTACGTTGCAGGATCGCCTGAAAACAGCAGAGGCGATGCGTGGGGCCAGAGTGATGTGTGACTTTATGACCAAAGGAAAGAACCCAGATCCTGAGGAGCGGACACTGACCTTAACCCCCACCTCAGAACCTGGCAGGGCCCAGGCGCACCCTGACCCGGCCCTTCCGTCCTGCCCTCCACGGGCTCCGGCCAGCGCAGCTTGCAGGAGAGAAATCGCCCCACGGGACTGTTTCAGTCCGCCCGTCACCCGCGTCAGGAGGACGGGTAATGGAGTTTCCCAGGTTCACCTGGTTCCTCCCGTCGGCTGTGACCATGGCCTCAGAGACCCGTCACTCTCAGCGTTTGTTCAGGAATTCTGAACGAGGTGTTGGTGGGGGGCCGAGAGCGAAGGAGGACGGTGGAGCTTCTTACAGAGGATGTCCCATCAGGCCCCAGGATAAAACTGGGACAGCAAATAGCACTCAGGAGAGAGGACGTTTCCTAAAAATTCATGAAACTGCCTGGCTGGCTTGGCTCAGTGGTTGAACTTCGACCTATGAACCAGGAGCTCACGGTTCAATTCCCGGTCAGGGCACATGCCCAGGTTGCGGGCTTGATCCCCAGTGGGGGGCATGCAGGAAGCAGCCAATCAATGATTCTTTCTCATTGTTAATATTTCTCTCTCTTCCTCTCTGAAGTCCATTTTTTTAAAAAAATTGTATAAAACTTGTGATAGCCATCCAATAGGAAACGTTAAGGTTTAAAAATGTGAACAGAACCTGCCTATGTCTCCCCTTCTGTCTTCCCACTGTAACCACTGCCCCTGCCCCTTCCCCTCCATCAGCCTCTCGCCCAGACTCCGCCTGTGGCCCAGCTTTCGTCCTGGGCCTGGTTTCTTCACCCGATTCCCGCTGTTGTTGCTAGTGCGTCTTCATGTCCTGAGCAGCTCAGACTCGAGAACACCGAGAAGGAAGTCAGTGATGGAAGAAAGAGGTGTGGCCTCTGCTGAGCTCAACTAGGAAAAGATGGCTAGATAGGAAGAGTGCAGCTCAGTGGGTGGGTCTCGCTGTGCCCGCCGCTCCGGTGAAGTTACACAGCAGCACTAATGGAGGTCACGTTCCCTGCCCCGTGTGCAGGAAGGGGCAGTGGGCCCGTCTCAGACAGCAGTCACTTCAGCCGTCTGTCGTCGACCTGGGAAGCCGGGGAGCTGCTGCACCTGGTTCTTGTCACGCTCGGTGTCTGCAGATCCACACTTGCTGGTTCGCTCATGGGGAGGCATTTTCTGGATGTCTCCGTAGTGGCGCTGAGATGTCAAGCCCTGTGTTCCGCCGGTTGGTGGTCACAGCCAGGGAAGTTGCTTTCTTGATTTATTACACTGTCGGTGATCTCCAGGGAGTCCCCGGATGTCAGCAGGAGTGTGTGGTAAATGTCTAGTTGATGGGGTCGGAGTGCTGCGTGTGCATCCTGTGAGGACAGAGCACGTTTCTCAGCTGAGGGACTGCACCCCAATCCCTGGGGCTCGTGTTACAGACACAGACGCCGGGAGGTTCTCGATGAGTAACTGAGGAGGGGCCACGGTGTGCACCACTGCAGTAGAGACACTTGCTTTCCTGAACGGTTCCGGTGGCACATTTTCATAAATGTGTGATTTTCCTGGCTCCAGGCAAGTGAAATGCCTGTGCGATTGACCTGGTGCCGACATGGTGAAGAGCCTTAGCTGGAGCCACTAGGTGTCATTTAAACTTGTGTTGACAGGAGGGGCCATGCCAGAAACTGCTGTCCCATCCTGATGAGGATTCTTCCTGTTTTGATGAGCCAACCCCAAAAGAAAGCTTATTTATTACTGTCACTTCCAAATATAAGGGAGCAGACATTGGTAAAAACGGTTGCTAACTCTGTTATTAAGCTAAACTTAGATATTGTTCGTTCCTCTGACTTTCTGTAGCCCTTTAAAAAAAACTTTGAAGTCACTTAGGTGGTTAAAATAAATATTAGTAATTTGTCATTGAAAAAGAGTTCGCTGCTGCTCTTATGGACAGAATTCCTGAGAGCTGGCTTGGCGAGGCCCAGGCTAGAGAAAGTTCTGTTTGGTCGTCGCAGGGAACCACAACAGACAGGGCTGTTTTGACCTCCACGCTCAGCTGTGGCATTGAGGCTGACTACCAGCATTCCTCCCCTCTTGACAAAGAACCAGTCCTAGGACCTGCCCACCTCCCAGAAAAGGGTGCCCCCTCTCCCATGCCGAGGGTGACTGCTCAGCGGAACCCAACAGGACTGAGAGCACTGCCAGCGACCAGGGTGACAGTTCCCGGGCGGACAGGGCGAGCGACAGGTCTGAGGCTGCAGCCCGATGCCAGGGGTGCGAGGGAGGTTCCACCGGCTCATCCTGAGCTGCCATCGGGCAAGGAAAATTAGTTCCCTGTTTACGGAATGTTCGGGAAAATGCCAAAAGCTCACAGCTGGAAGTGCAGTCCCCCTCCCTAGGAGGAGAGATCAAAGTGCCGCTTGCTTGGGGGTGAAAGCGAGTGTTTCACACTTGTCTGCGCCCCAGTGAGGTCGCTAAAAATAAAACGAGCCAGCACTGCATCGCTGCATCGGGCCACTTAAATCAACAAGGCCTGGGAGACACGGGCACATGCAACGCTGGCTGCAGAGGGGACTGCTGCATTTCACACCGTAAACAGACGTCTCCAGGCTCATTCTAGTGGCCGTCCGGACAGACAGCCCCGGGCCCTCGGCGTTCTGTACAGTTCTCTACCTGTGGGCGATACCAGTTTCCTTAAAATGGAGAGATTGGTGTTTCGTGCAAATAGCTTTCGTTTTCCCCATCTGGAAGTAATTTCTTGGTGCATATTGGAGCATGAAATACTGCAGTTAATTAAAGCATTACTGGATGTCATTTGCTAGGATGTATTTCCTTACTGTTGACAGAAAACAGAATGGACTATAGGAAAGAATTAGCAAGCCCGGGAACCTGGGGCTCCCCCGTCCCCCCCACCCCCACCCCCGGCGTCTGCCCTTCTCCCCGGTGAGGCTGTGCCCCTTCCCTGACGCCTCAGGAAGCAGCACGCGAAACATGCGTCCCTCGGCGAGGTCCCGGCACTTCCCGCCGAGGTCCCGGCACGTCCCGCCGAGGTGGAAACCTCTGTAACGATGTATAAAGCGCTCGGCTGCTGATCTGGAAACCTTGCGCTCTGAGTTTCTATCCTGTTGATTTCCCTCCGCCGCCTACCGCCTACCGTCCCAATCCCAGCCGCTTTCCCACGGGCCTGCCCCGGGATTTCTCCCCTGCGCGCAGCAAGCTAATCCCGCTTCCTTAATAACTGGGTGGGCACTGAACTTTGGGGGAGTCTGATGTTTCTTCCAGCCGTGGAAAGTCTTGCAGCGCTTCCATTAGCTTGGCTTCGAGATCGTTACCTCGTTTCCATCCTGGCTTTCAGCAGCCCCCGCTTTAATAGGGGAGCCAGGGTTCAGTAGGGTGGGAAGAGAAACACTTCCGGATGAGCCGCCTAGAAGAGTAATGCAAGGTGATTTACCTGCGCGATTTCTTCCTGCCTGCGTCACCGGGCAGAGCGGTGGGATATGCAGAATGTGTCCATTGGAAGCAAAAGCAGCCTGGGAGGGGAGACGCCTGCGGACACCTGGTCTCCAGGTCTGGTTCCGGCACTTTGATGTTGGTCCAGTCATTGAGCCTCTGAGCCTGTTTTCAGGATCTGTGAAGGCGGTTATAACCACTAGAGCTGCGAAGCTCACACAAGGCCGGGTTGTGTGCACATGCTCTGTAAGCCGTGCAGCAGTGTCAGACGTGACGTGTCCATTGTCACCGGCCAAGCCTGAACCACAAGCAGCTGGCTGCACGGGGTGGTTGGGGTATAAGGCCGGGGGGCTGGCGGGCTTGAACACAATGGCCAAGTGACCACATACCCTGCTGCTGCGTGCAGGCGGCATGCGCAGCGAGCCTCGGAATAGCCAGTCTTTGCCTTTTTAGGTCATGACTGTGATATCCAACTTATTCGAGAGTTTGAAGACTCTCCATCCTCTGCTCCTCTTGCCTAGCAGCTGTTATTTCCGTAGCATTTAGGGATAAACCTGCGGACACTGAGAGAGAACTTCCTCCCTCCCAGTGGTGTTGGCGGGGCTGCCCGCTGTGGAAAATGTGGCACGTTTCCTCCGAATGCAAATTAGGAGAGTTGCTGCAGGCTCCCTTCCAAAAAAATCTTTCAGAATCGGTGTCCGGTGTCCACAGACCAGACTTCCAGTGGCCATTCCTGGCAGGGACAAAATTCTTGACTGCACTTTTTTTTTTTTTTTTTTAGCCTGCATGCCCAAAGAACTCTAAGCAGGACTATCCTGGGACAGGCTGGGAAGCTGAGGTTCCCCAGCTATTGGGGTTACTTTATGGTTGCCCTTTAGAGAAGGCTAGAGCTGAATCCCCGCACGCAGCTGGCAAGCACTGGCCTGGCTCTCCCAGGCCCCTTCGGGTTAGTGGCGCAGGAATGCTGGGCCTCAGAGCGATGTTACAATGAAAACTGTTAAACGCGGTGTCCCCCAGGAATGCTTATCACTTCATCTGAGGGCTCT